CAGATGTGAGGGAATTCAGCAAGAGCACAATATGAACTGTAAAGAGCCACTGATAAGCCTTGAAGCTAGTGGCAAAAGATCCAATTCCCCCAGCAAGGCCTTCTAGTGACTATGTCATCCTATACTCTGAAAGGCACTTTAGAAAACTAGTCTAGAATGCCTAGAACTTAATCTAGAAGTTCTAGGAAATTAGCAGAACTTCTTTGACAACTGCTTGTAAAAAATTTACTTATGAGTTGTTGATCTTCAGATATCTGAACACAGTGTAAGGACAGCAAACACTAACTTCTAAGTGTCAATGTCATTAGGGAACTGAGGAACAGGGTAAATAGCTGGCCAAAGGTCAGACGTAAGGGAAGTAGGAGAGCCAGGAATAGAAACCTGTGCTTGTCTCAGGAATACATGTTCAGTTCACTAACTGGTCTACTTTAGGGACAGGACAGTCCATGGGTCCACCATGGTACTTTATGAAGCATCTCAATTTCATTGTCAACACAGCCTTGCAAGATTGGTGTTTATCATCTCTACTTTTGCATACAGAGAAAATGAGACTGAAACTATCCCGGAAGTGACAGAGGCCAAGTTCCAGCAGGTGTTTGCTGCTTAAAATCTGTCCCTTCTACCCATCAAGAAAGCACAAAGTGAAGAATTTGTATCATCAAGCAAATGATAATTGAACACACCCCAAATTCTAAGTTAATGAATATTAAATTGTCATATAAGAACCTTAATAAAAGTCCTCAAGGTGAAATTAACTTTTTTTTATCTTTATTAGTGTATATTCATTGTACAGGAGGGATTCATTGTGACAATTCTGCATAACCTTACATTGTACATTGGTTAGATCGCCCCCACCATCTCTTTTCCTGAACCCTCTGCCTTCCCCTTAAAACATTTGCAAGAGGACATAGGATATGTACTGAAAGCTGTTGAATAATAAGAGTAGGAGGGAAAGAGTAAGGGAGAGTAACAGAGGGGGTTGAACTGACCAAAGTAAAGATATTCATAGCTGGGAAACAGTGAGAAACCCCTTTGAACACTGACTTTGTAATTAAAAATGAAAGACAGGACTGTAAAATAGGTCTGGGGTTTGGAGGGGAGGAGATGGTTGTGGGAGGGGGGAGGCTGAATGGAGAAGATGAAGGTGAGGGAATATGGTTGACAAAGTATGATGCTAAACATTGTCAGAAAATATTTTTTCATTTTAATATAAAAAAATTGTATATATGCACACCATACATGGGGCCTTTCCCTACCCCATGTGTTTCAATTCCCTCAATGCGCTCTCTCCTCTCTCTCTCTCTCCTGCCTCCCTACCTCCCCCCTCATCCTCTCCCTCCAACCCTCCCTCTTTCCTCTCAACTTTAAGACAAAAGAATATTAAAAGGTTACAAATGTTCCTGCTGCCCTCTGGTGGTCTTATTCTGGAACAGGTAGTCTTGGTGAGGGAAATCAACAAAATCTTTATACACAAATAATAAAATAACATGCTGACACACTTCCTTAGAATTTTTGAAGAGTGTGGGCTGTAGGGGAGAGGAAAGTGTTGATGGTCACGGAAAAGTTATTCAAATTCACAGGGTTTCAGCGACCACATCTGTAAAGTGAAGGTTAAAAATCTCTCTTCATGGCTGTCTGGAGATCAAGATAATATACTAAAGGGTCTTGAAGTACAGCACTTTCTTAATACAAGAAAAGTATTATTACCTTATTTAACTAATTACTATTAACTTATATGAACTTATTTAACTTATTATTTTGCCTTATTTCACAGCTCTAGAAGATGAAGGAAACTGAGGCTCAGCACAGGTTACTCGTTTTTCAGTTAATTCAGTCAGCATTATGAGTAGAACTAGACCCACAGTCCAAATGTTCATTCTACTTCTAGCTCTCTCCAGGATTACCTCAATACTCCCAAAATAGCAGCTGATAATGAAGAATCTTAAGAAATCTAAACATTTTAAGAGGGTGTTGTCATACATTGCTGTGGTTGCCATTAAATCCCAAAATAAGCACTCCATGGCTCAATGGTCATGTCTCTAAAGTTGTGTCTTTAAAAAATTTGAGAAACACACAAAGACTTATGCTTAAAACATAGTCACATGTTGTTTAATAGTTCAAGTTGAAAGCAAGATAAATAGAAGTTATTTATTAAGTAAACTTTAATACAAGTAATGATAATTGTTTTTATTTATTGAACAATCTCCAGGCACCAGATGCTATTCTAAAGATTATAAAAACATTGACACTTCAGTGAGGCAAATACTATTATTATCTCCATTAAACACACAAGCAAACTAGAAACAGAGGAGTCAAATATTCCAAGGTCAAATATTCAGGAAGTGGGAGAGGCAGGAATTGAACAGAAGTACCTTTCTCACGAGTCCATGTTCTCTTCACTGTCACTCTGCTTCCAACAGGGTATAGCGCATGGGTCCACTTGTGCTAGTTCATTGAATGGTAGGTAGCACCTATATGATGAACGAGTGTGCAACCATTTTTAAAAATATATTACAAACACAGATCTCAAGGGCATTATGCTACATGAGAAAAGCCAATCTTAAAAGATCAAAACAAGTCATACGCTGTATGATCCATTTACAGAATAGTCTTGATGGGACAAAGTTGCGGTGATGCAGACAGATTAGTAGCTGCCAGGAATTAGGGACAATGGGGAAAGAAAGGACAGATACATATAAAGAGGTCACAAGGGAGATCTTTGTGGTGACAGAGTTCTGCAGCTCCTTTTTTTTTTTAGTAGTACTGGGATTTGAACTCAAGGCCTTGTGCTTGCTAGGCAGGCACTCTACCATATGAGTCACTCAGCCAGCCCAAGTTCTGCATCTTGATTGTGTGTGTCACTTCCTAAGTCTACACAGGTGATAAATGGCATAGAACTATACACACAAATTCTCACAATACGAATTTCCTGGTTTTAATCATTTTTTGGAGGTGGTGGGACTGGGGTTTGAGCTCAAGGGCTTTGCACTTGCAAAGCAGGCTCTCTACTGCTTGAGCCACACCTCCAGTTCATTTTGGTCTAGTTATTTTGGAGATGTGGGGGGGGTCTCCAGAACTACTTCCCTAGGCTGGCCTTGAACCTTGATCCTCCTGATCTCCCCCTCCCAAGTAGCTAGGATTATAGGTGTAAGCCACTGGCACCCAGCCTTCTACAGTTATATAAGATGTAGCCATTGGAAGAAACTAGGAGAAGAGGACACAGACTCCTCTGTACTATTCTGAAATTTCCCATGAATACAAAATCGCTTTAAAATAGAAAGATAAATTAAAAATGATAGTAAAATATACCTCAATAATGTTGATTTTGAAAAAAACCAATGATAAGAGATTAAATTCATCTCTTACTAAAAATGGTTTCTTATTTGCTTATATTTATTTATGCTTTCTCTACCTCTAATCTTTTAATCTTGTATGTATTCTGCTTGTGAGTTCACAAATAATTTGTGAAATATGGCACAAACACAATACATAAGACTTTGTATTTTAAAAAAAAAAATTATTTCAAGCCATGTGTGGTGGCACATGCCTGCAGTGTCAACACTTGGGAGAACTAAGCAGGAAGGTCTTGAGTTTGAGGCCAGTCTGAGCTGCGTGGACTTTTTTTTTTTAATACTAAACAAATACCTATTTTAACTGCCAAACTATGGAGAAATTATACAACTAAAAAAACTTTCCAAAGAAGGATGATGACATCAGGAAAGTATTATTATGACAAGCAAGAAATGTAAATCCATGAAATCCAGCTGAGTTACACAGACTTTTCTAAAATAAAAAAAAAGTAGTAATTGTGTTTCACTAAGTATTAACTTATGTGAGGACATGCTTACATTAAAATGTTAAGGGAAAAACCAGTATGTAAAACTCCACACCACATTATCTCACATCTGAAGTGTGTGTGTGTGTGTGTGTGTGTGTGTGTGTGTGTGTAAAACCAAAATTTAAATCAAAATAGTGGCTTTTTCCAGGTGACGGGTTTGGGTAATTTTGACTCCTCTTTTATGCTTTTCTAGATTTTCCAAACTTTTGTTAATAACAGGACTGCTGTGACCTTCAGAAAGATTTAGGCTAACAAGTATCTAAAGTGCTGAAATAAAATCAATACCAGAATTTCCAAGAACGGGAATAATAAGTCAGGAAGTGTGAATGGAAAATATTTGGAGAAAAACCATTATCTCAAGGGTTGGGCATAGAGGAAAGATATTCAGGCTAGAAGAGGAAGTATCTAAAACTGAATGTTCTGGACCCCAATGCGCCCTGCTTCCTACTTTGATGTATGTCAGACATCCTTAGGCAATTTTCTGACAAATATCTTTGGAATTTTCTGTAGACTGCAACATTCAGATAAGGACCTGATATGTTCAGAGAAAATGAGAAAAGCTCTGAAGACAACATCTAATCTCTGGACTGGAGAATTTCAAAGGTGAATATGGAAAAAAGGGCAAAAAGAGCTTTTTAATTTTTTTTAAACAATAACCTCAAAAAGTGTATTGCTTCATGGCAGGCTGTCCTGGGCAGGGCCTATCAGCAGCACCAGATGAGCCTGACAGAGACCCACCTTGCAGGGGCAAGGCCTCGGCTGCCTGCACGCGCCAATCTCATTACTCACAATGGAAGCCTGAGGCTGCTGATAATGGCACTGGTCCCCTAGCACAGAACACAGCATGCTTTTTCCTGCCTTCCTGGGAAGGTCAAGGGTGAACTGCACAGCCTGGCCCCTAACAGGCTGTTGCAATTCCCTTGAACATAGACGAGATCAGGGCTTTTTCATTTTTAATCGGAAACTAACTTGGGGTCACGTTGGAAATCCTTATTTGGCACATGCACCTGACTATCTCACACAGATTCCAACTTTGCAAAAGAGCTGGAGTTGATTTCTCCCCTCGGGAAAGTAATTGGTCGTCAGCAGAAGGCTCAGCACAGACAGGAGCAGCGAAGGTTCCTGCTGAGCCTCAGTCAAGGAAGAACTCAAGAGTTTTGGGATGAGGCTGCAAGGGCAAAGGCGAGCTTTTCACAACAGCACACGCTGCCCAGTGATCAGCAGATGCAAGAGGATTCTTCTGCCAGGTACTGCAGTGGGCAGCCCTGCGATGAGGGCCTGGCTCCTGCGAGGGCAGCTGCCCCTCCTGCTGCTGCTGTGTGGCCTGCAGACACCCATGGGGAGCACTGAGGTAGGGGCATTTGAGAGCCGATCTCTGCATGATCAACACTCCAGTCGGACTCTCACCTGGGGACAACCTAAATGACGTCTAAACCTTAGCACTAGGATCTAACTGCATTCAAACATTTTAGTAAGTAATGTTAGTGAAGAGTATTGAAAGCAATTATTAAAAATGAGAATTCTTTATAGTTTATAAAGTTGGCATTACAGAACCTAGAGGAACAGAATTATTATCTTGATTCTCCATAATAATTAAAATACTGTTTGCATAATACAAATAATGCAAAATAAACCAAGTCTCTTTGGCTTTAAACTGTATCATACAGACCAACTCAAGTTATAATATTCTATTTTAAAGATCCATATATAGAAAATAACCTAATGTTGAGAGTCTACAGAGTACATATTTGAGACTTAGTAATATATTAACAGGGGTTTGGGGTTCATCATGAGCTTTTGACAGAACATGCTATTACTGGTTTGCTTTGCTTAAATAGACTCTGTAGACCTACTTTTAAATCTACTTTAAAGAATTATTTTTTAAAATCATTTAATCAGCCTTAGAATTTCATTCTAGTTTATGCACAGCTAAATGATATTTCATCATAAACCACACAGTAAAAATACCAAATTGTATGGTTTTTAGTTTCAATTCCAACATCCTTTACATTCAGTGGAATCTCATCTGTGAATGAGTACTGTTTTTTGAAAAGCACCATTTCTTTGCCAGGAAAGAAATGTCCATTTGAATTGAGATAATTCAAATAAGGCTCGTGGGCTGGTGGAATAGCTCGAGCAGTAAGAGTGTCTGCCTGCCTTACAAGTGGAAGGCCCTGAGTTCAAACCCCAGTGCTGCCAAAAAAATAAAATAAGGCTCTAAATGATGGAATGATAATACTTAGTGAACCCCTAATTTCAGTACAGCACACACTAAATGGTGGCAAGTAACATTCAATTGGCTACCAATTAGAAAAGAATGTCTTTTTCACTCTTCATTTCCAAGAGGAGGCACTTTCCTAGATACACCCTCAACCACTGTCCTACCGTCCACTCACTCTGCTCCCCTGGAGGTGGACAAATTACTTGGCTGGTAATACCTTGAAGAAGAGCTGGATTTTCTGACTTGGGCTGTGCTCTTCTTCCTCCTGGGAGTTGGTTAGCCTCATAGCAAAGGGCATGTTTCTGTTCCTCCAAAGATAAGAACTTAACCTGGGAGGCCTCCATCTAGTACTGCTTGCTACTGAATGACCAAACCTACCTACACTTAACAACCTGCTTGCCCTCAGACCTAAAGATATGTGCTCCAACACAGCCTCGTTCACTAAGAAAACTCTTACTTTGGACTTCACATTTACTTTTTTCCCTCATTTTTTTCAGAATCTGGGAAGACAAGGGGGTTATTTACTGGAGTCCCCCCTTGCCTAACGTTACTCAGCACTCAAGGTTTTTCTCCAATACAGCTCAAAAATGTAATATAGGTTTTAGGCATTCATAAAAAAGACATTCCTAAAACAGTCATGAGAGAATTAAAAAAAAAAAAGGGAGGAAAGTACAGGAAACCAAAAATATAATTAAAATATAAGGTTAATTGATTTTGTTTCTTCCAAGTACTCAATATGGAAAAACACTGTGATTTCAGTGACACAAAAAGGGATACTTCCTCACTTTCAGTAATAGTTATCAAACTAAATTCAATCTCTAGCACAGGTCATTGATGTAAGAATGATGTGGGAATCATTACAGTGAATGAAGTATAATGATTCTGAGTAAAACTCACTTCAGTTAATATTGGTTTTGAGAAGTCTTGGATTTATAGATTATAGCAAATCTGCTATCACACTTTCCATCTCATTGAAATAACTAGATCAAGATTTTTATTTTTTACTTATAGGTTACGATTAAAATCGACATTGACCTGGCACCAGATTCCTTTGATGATCAGTACCAAGGCTGTAGCAAACAGGTCCTGGAGAAGCTAAATCAAGGAGATTATTTCACAAAGGAACTGGAAGCCCGTAAGAATTACTCCAGAGTGTGGCAAAAAGCCCACCTAACCTGGCTGAGCCAAGAAAAAGATGTCCCCAAGGACATGACAATTACACATGCTGTGGTCCTCCTGGTTTACACGTTGAATAGCAATGTGCGCGGACTTTTCTGAGACCATGGCCAGTGCTGCTAGGTCTCCACAGCAATACAAACAATCATTCCACTTCAAGTATCTCCACTACTACCTGACCTCAGCAATCCAGCTGCTGAGAAAAGAGATGATCATGAAGAATGGCAGTCTGTGTTACGAGGTGCACCACGGGATGAAGGATGTCCACTTTAAAGCCAACATAGGGGCCACCATTCGATTTGGCCAGTTCCTCTCCACCTCCCTCCTAAGAGAAGAGGCACAGAAATTTGGAAGTCAAACGCTATTTACCATATTCACCTGCCTGGGTGTACCTGTACAAAACTTCTCCCTCAAGAAGGAAGTCTTGATCCCTCCCTATGAACTGTTTGAAGTCGTAAACGTGAGCTACCACACAAAGGGAGATTGGTTACACTTGCGGTCAGCTGGGAACATGAGCACATATAACTGCCAGCTGCTGAAAGGTAATCTTGCTGTAAACTGGATCCACTCTTATCAGAATCATAGACCACTACTTTTTTATGAAAGTTACTTTTATTTTGCTTTAGGGTGGGAAAACAAGAGCAAAAACAGGGAAACTGGCCTCCAGTGATAGTAAACCTGATGGGTTAAAGAAAAGCTACTTTTTATATGCCTTGTTTTCCCCTTTCTCCTTGTCTCTTCAACTACCTCTAGAAAGATGAGTTTTTGCACTGGCACTACAGTTGGCCCTTATCCATGGGCCATGTTCCAAGACACGCAGTGGATGCCTGAAAACCACAGATATACCAACCATAAAATAGTAGGCTTTTTCCTGTACAAACATTCCCATATAAAAATTAATTAGAACAAAGCAAAAGTTATATAAATGTGCACTCCCTCTTGCTCACTTTCTTCTCTCCTCAGAATATCGTACTGTACTCTGCTCCTCCTTCTTCTTGTGATGATGTGAGATGATACAATCCCTGTGTGATGAAATGAAGTGAAGTGAACAACCTAGGCATTGTGATGCAGGGTTGGCACACCGCGTAAGGGTTACTTGAACACAAACACTGTGACCTGACGGTTGATCTCGTAACTGAGATAGACATGAAGTGACTAATGTACAGGTAGCACAGACCATGTAGAAACTCTGGACAAAGGGATAATTCATGTCCCAGCTGAGATGGAATGGGACCACACAAGATTTCACCATGCTACTCAGAATAATGCACAATTTAAAACCTACAAATTATGCATTTCCGTAATTTTTTCCATGTCAAATTTTCAGACCATAGTTGATTAGGTAACAAATCACAGAAAGTGAAACTAGACATAAGACAGGATTGCTGTATGCATGGGAAATTCTAGACAAACACAGTGAATCCTGATTGGAAAAGATAATGCATAAAAAATAGCAATTTTACCTTCTCCCTCAAACTCTTTTCCTTCTCTTATCCATTGCATGGATAAGAGGTTCTAAAAATAAAGCAGGAAGTTAGATTTATTCATTGATTTTTTTTCCATTTATTAACCACTCTCAGTTGAGATAGGAGGTCCTGACAATACAGAATGATGAAAGCAATTTTTTTCCCTGGGTGGGAGCGGGAACATTTGTCATCAGAAGTTTTAGCTGAGGGTTGTGGCTGTTCTATGCAGATAGTAGCTCATTCTCTCTGGGGAAGGTGATGAAGGCATCCCAATAGAGACACCCTTTGGGACTGGAAATGGGAATGGGGATTTTCAGAGAAAATAAGGCAATGTCATTTCAAGCAAAGAACAGCATATACTAAACCACAGGGACTTCAGACAGCCCAGTGTCTTTAAGGAACCTCTGAAACTCTGGGTGGCTGGAGTGTAGGATGAACAGGAGGCAGGAAGAGGAGACCAGATGAAAAGGAACAGGGGATTTATTCAGGCAGGAGAGGTCTGACGGGGCCTAATTTTCTAGGCCTCATAATCTACGCTGAGGACTTTCGAACTTCATGCTGCAGGTAATAACATGTCATTAGAAGTCTTTTAGAAGCGGAACATCAAGTAGATCAAAATTTTAGAAAGAGCTCTGAGGAAATTGTGGGAAATGACCTGAAGCAGGATAAATCAGATACATCACACTAGAAAAAAAAATGTTAAATTCTTTCCTTAGAAAAAGTTACTAATCCAGTTTGTTCTTCTGTTGCCGCCTAGTTATTTCTCAAGGGGGTAGCTCAGTAACAAATGCTGTGCCCCGTGAGAATCAGAAGAAAGAAAGCTGTCTTACACATATTAATTCATGCACACTTAGTTAATGGCAACCCAGCTGCAGAATTGTCTATCCCCAAACCTGTCTCTACTCCATTATTATTGCTTCTGTTTATAATTCAGGCTCAGAATTTCTCAACATTTTAGGGCTGTAGTGTTGCAAGGGTCTTCAAACTGGCATCCACACTGAGGTCTAGAGACTGCTCACTCTGCCCTATCTGTACACACAGAGAGAGGTCACCTATCAATACTTTCATCTCTTCCCTCCTCTCCTTGGCAGTGTGGCAACAATGAAATGAGTATCCACCCCACAGACCTAAGTCTGCAGAGGATGAAAACCTACAGTGGACTATAAAGAAAACAGTGCCACTTTGATCATGAATGACACAGCCAGGTGGACGGATTCTTTAGCGCTATACCAGCCTAGCATGCTATTACTTCATTTTCATTATGAATTTGGGGCATGTGCTCATTGCACTAGAATAATGAGCACAATAAAATATGTTCAGTGAAAAATCATGTCAAATAGGAAACTGAGGGAAAGGAGTATAGCATAGAAACTATAGCTCATATTCTACCACTCTGTCCACCTCAAGAAAAAATATTTCAGGACTACCCCCAATACACATGCAAACTAATGATCTATTCTTTCATGAGAAGAAATTTCCCACACATAACTTTAACTCAGTTTTGAATTAGGCTTGGCTGGATAGCCATATATACTGCTAGTTTCTGGAAATTTGATTGGTCTTGAGCAGATATTTGAAATTGTAAGCCACACTTAAGTGAATCAATAATCTTTGAATTCTTTGTAAGCTCTTTGTGAGCAGGACCTTGGCGACATAGTACTTAAGAGCCAAATGTAGAATCCAGATAGTTTGACCCCAAATTCACTGTCTGGATTCAAATCCAATCTGTACCACCTTTTAGTTATATGTTCTTGGTCAAATAGCTTAAACCCTTTAGATTTCTTTACCTACATAATAAGCATCATAATAGAACCTCCTAAGGTAAAGATACAATTAAATAAAATACTAAATTATTTTTATATTTCCTAACACATGAGAAATGGTCAATCAATGATATATATTAAGTTTAATCCCCTGGCACAGGGAGATGCTTAACCTATTTTTGTTGAACGGGTGAATAAATAATGGAGAACAAATGAAGCACTCTTTTCACACCTCTGAGTGATCTGGACCTTGGGTAAGAAAACCATATAAATCAATTGACTAAAAGCAGGTCCAGGATTTGAAGACCTAGAGAAGAAAAATATTATAGAAGATTCAATCCCTTGTCAAAAGTAAGGAGCTGCAGTCATAATGTGAATGGCCTGCAATGTGGTCACTTATGAGTTGCCATTACTGAATTTTCCTAGAAATTCATCCACTAGAAGCTGTGTAGCCTTGGGAAGAGCTTGCAAATGGCAGGATAAAAATATCCCTGCATACAAGGTGGTGTTTTCTTCATAAACTGAAGTGAAGAGGGAAGAGACTTGTCAGAGGCATCTCATGATCCACCAAGAGCTGGTCTTGGTGCTTTCCCAGCCACCACTATGAACCCATGTGGGAGGGTGGAAGAGGGAAAGGAAGAAGTGCCAGCTGCAGTGAGACCTTTCTTTGAGCCTGGAGTCCAACATAAGGTTGCAGAAAAGTCTGGTCTGTCCTCCAGTTCTGTACCATTTAACTAAGCCTCTTTGGCCATTTGGCTGGTTGTTGGCAGTCACTTTAGTTGAGGACAGAAAGACTGCAATCTTACATTAGACACACTCAATATCCACTTATTGTTGCTGATTGAAAAAATGTTTTATTGGCTTCAGAATGTTTTCAGTTGATTGCTCAATGTTGGTTTTTTTTTCTCTCTCTTTCAATCAGTAAGTGAAAGAAATAGTGACTTTAAAAAATTATTTTAGATGACTTTTCTTAATGACTTAGGAAATGTTTCATGAAACCTGGGTGTGGTGGTACAGGCCTGTGATCCCAGCACTCAGAAGGCTGAGGCAGGAGGATGGTGAGATTGAGGCCAGCCTGTCCCAAAATAGGAAGGAAGAAAGGAAGGGGTGGGGGGGTGGGAGGAAGGGAGGAAAGAAGAAAGGAAGGAAAGAAAGGAAGGAAAAAAACCATGTTCTTGAGTCATTTCTCTTCATTGATAAGTAATATTCTACTTTTCCCAACTTCCCGAAGCAATACTGGCTGATCTATATATGAATCATGGGAGGAAGGAGAGGTGGTGTACCTCTCTTATCCAGTTCTTTCCCTGGGAAGGAGGGAGGGAGGTCAGTGATTCCCTGCTTTTTCTAGATAGCTACTTTACTGCCCCCTTCACCTCTTCTGCTCACCCCAGCCCAGGGGATTCACACATATTATTCTGGAACACTGATACCTAATTCCTCATGAACTCAAATCCTATCAGAAGACTGTTACTTATTCTTTCAGTTTCTTTTTTTCTTCACTGACAAAAGCCATAACCTATTGCATGTCTCCAAAAGTCCCTATAAGCCAAGTGACTTATGCTTTCTCTCCTTATCTGAAAGACATAATACTTGAAAGACAACATTCAGACCTTAAAATGTAGCCAGCCAGGATGTTGTAAGTCTCCCAGTGAAGAAATAATGTACTCGAGAGCACAACTGCCCTAGCACTTAAATTTATGTCAGAATTGTTCTTGTTGAATTGCAGCTCAAGTTGAAAGAGTTCCTAGGGATCTGTCCCCTACTGAGAGTCAAGAGGTCAAACTGGTAGCATAAAACATTCATTACAGGGAGTAGATGTGCAAAAGAAAAATTAAGTCATTCTAATGCGGTATCTTTCTCTTCTACTTCTATCACCACTCACATGACCTCTACTGGTTACCATAGAAACAGATGTTCTCATGCTAAATGGAAGACTCAAAATATTTTAACAGGATGATCATTAGTTATTTACCCTTCACTGTTGCTTCTTCAGCAAAATAATCTTCATCGAGAATCTGTGGACACACAAATATATGCTCTGTTCTGTGTCAATGGATTCACAAAGAAGGATTTGTTGAAATACCTCACATAATCAAAATTCCTAACATGTTTCTAGAAAAATGTAGCCATTTGTTTGTAGTAGCCTAGTTTTGCATGTAAACTTCACAGTTACTAGCAGGGATAACATGGGAAATGGCTTAATTTCTCTGTGCCTTGGTTTCTTTATGTAAAAATAGGAATTTTTTTAAGCCTACCTTACAAGATTCTGGTGAAGAGAAAATAAATTAGTGTGTGTAAGTGCTCTTAGGACAG